TTTACCAAATTCTTCTGAAACGATGACTTCTCAATCGGTTCCAAACTTTTTCCACTTGACTAGAAACCTTCCCAGTTACTTTCTAACAGCCCATAAGTTTGGGTTGGTAAATTAATTATCCTACAGAACGGAGAGCCTATTCATCCAAAATGCAGAACGGTTATCCAGAGAGGTTCATTAAAATTCACGATACAGCCAGCACGAAACCAACCATGGTTCATTCAGCAATCGCGAAATGCACATGTTTGTCCTTCCAGTTCCAAGGAGACCAAGTTAACGCGGACGTGAGACGCCGGCTCACCTACGCTCTGAGACGTGTCCACACTGCAGCCGAACTACCTCTAGTACCGACCAAAAGAGGGTTAGCTCCGCACAAATGCAAGCCCAGGGTTTCTAATCTGTCAGCGCCCCATGTGTTCTGCGCGTTTTCCTGCAGCCTCGGGGACAGACGGATGGAGCTGCTGTCGAGAAAGCCGTCTGGTCAAATGTCAAATCACAGTTCCGCATCGTCGGTGGCCAGACATGTGTCAGATACTGGTCAGCTCCTTCCTTCCAATGAGATAGATTAACGGGAATCCAATGTTTCAAACTTCCACAAGAGACAAATAGGGCCACATTATATGAAACACTATCTCAGGTGCGGATTACAGCCTAAAGAAATGAACTTACTTTAATATCAATCACGTGATAGAAAATCATAAGGCCGACTAGCACAACCGTTGATGCACTAATGAGTGCTTTCATGAGCAGGCAATAGATTGAATTCTGAAATTTGAAAAAGGTGATAAATTATCAAATAACGATACATATCGGGTTCAACAAATTTCAGTTGGTCGCATGTGCTCATGAATGAATCTGCTAGAAGAGATAACTGTTGTGGAAGATTAAGAGAAGATACATCATTACACGATTTTGAGTTTTCCCGTTTGCCAGTCAAATTCTTCAAGCTATTATCAGGAGCCCCATCACACAGGGGACTCAGGATCCATTGATTGAGGTTTCTCTCTTTACCAATGTACCGACTCATTACCTGCAATCATTAAAACAGCTGAATGTTTCAGCGTTGTACAAACGGCGTCGATGTATACAGTCTGTAACAACTATTGTACATTGGTCAGACGTGTGGTTTGAAGACACAATAATGAATGCGGTATATTTAGAATTTACTTTTTATTCGACGCGTTTTGTACGCTAACGTTTTCGTGATCAGTGACACCTTTAGTCTACAATGAGATGTAAGGATTTCCGGCGTTATCTCCTGGCAAAACACCCTGGCTCTCCACCAATGTAGTGTAGTGTATCGCTCCGCTTCACATCAGAAATCTGCCTATCCATACCCACTAGCTTTTAGGGTGAACTGTGTTAAACTGCATCAAAGATTTCCAATATGACCGGAAGACTGGCATCATCATCGCTGATAAAATTACGCTTATTTTTATAGGCGTAATACACTACTCACAATGTTGGTGAAAAACTTCGACAGCCCACGACAGTTTTTGCCCGATTCGGGGCTCATCAGGAAAGCGCAGTCTCCGAGTTTCCATCAACTTCATATTCTACTTGGAAACAAATTGCACGAACTTAGCAACATACACGTTTGCAAATCGGCGTGGTTTTGCGACAGACTCACCTGAAACCCAACTGAATTAAAAACACCATGAACGAGAGATTCAGCTTGGTTTCAGGTGAGTCTCCCGCAAAAGCAAATTGATATACATCAATTTTTGTTTGGCTAAACCGGTTATTTTACCGTGGAGAAGTCTAGAAAACAGAGATGACCTAGCCTCAATAAGCTTTGCCAGGTCAGCTGATCAAGCAAGACTGAAAAAATATTCATTTGCAAACAAATTTGCTTTTGCGAGAAACTCACCTGAAACACAGCTGAATCTCTCGTTTGTGATGTTCCCAGGAATTTTCAGCAACCTAATGAGAAGTGCATTACGTATACACATGTGTCGCGATATCTCGAATATCGTACCAACTGAAACTTGAGGAGGCCTAGTGCAGTACATTCAGTTTCTGGAAACATCACAAACGAGCGATTCAGCGGGGCTCCAGGTGAGTCTCGCAAAACCGAATTTGTTTGCAAATGAGTGTATTTGGTCTCAAGTGGAACATAAGGTTTACGGAAACTCGAGGACTGCACCTACCTGATGAACCCCAAGAAGGGCTGTCGAAGAGTTTTCAACAACCTTATGAGTAGCGCACTACATATATACAAGTATTTATTTTTGTCTGCCTCAGTACTTTTCAGTTTGTTGCGGTCGATATATTCCACATTATTTTAAAAATAATTTACGCATTTGAGTGATCGATTTCGAAGTCATCAGCCGTCCTGAATAATGTTCACTTTGGTTTGCTAATGCTCAAGGCCTCTGAACAATGACGACGCGTGATTTCGAAAACACGAATTTGGGTTTTCTGTATGAGTTGGACAAACTGAAGTTTCAGAACTACCAATTCGTTTGCTTTTTCGCTTCGGACATTTAATCCGGAATTCATAAAAAGAATAGCAATATAGTGTGCCCGAATACAGTTTTTGGAGTCAAGGATGCTTTATAGCCTCTCCTTCAACTTTCAACTGGCGTCCTTTCACCGTAAGACCGATTTGGGAAGCTCTTCTGGGGACTTTCAACGATACGAAAGAGATTTTGCTCGAAGGGAAAAACCGATCATCAGTAGTGCCGTTTTTGCAGAAGAACCTCTCAGAAGAACCTCTCTCTACTCAGCTGTTGCACCCAACACAATCAATGATTTTAAACAAGGTTGAAAAATTACAGTTGATCACACAACAAACTTGCCGCAAAAATGCTGACGTGACTAGAAATCGATTGCGATACCATTTCAGCAGGTAGGTATTCTCGCCTTTGTTCCATATCCGATCAAGTGAGTTGAATAGAACGAGACTTGATGGAGATTTTCCAGGTTTCACTTTATTCGGACAGACAACGTTCTGGTCACGTCTGTTTCATATACTCTATTCATAGTAAGGAACATTCTTTAGAAGACTATATTCTCCGTCAACCTTTGCGAACTTTGTTCACTGATTTGTATAACGTTGCCTAGTCCTATTAAAAATACCATGAATCAATTCTGAAAAGCGTATGTCTTAGCCTTGCGTCTAGAATCATTGACAATGGTATCGCGATAGCAGCTGATCACTAGAGAGTTACGCTCAAAACATTCCCATGTCTCAGTAAATCACGCAACCAGGTTTGAGATTATTACTGATGATTTGCTAAACAAATATGGTAGACTCTGCATTTCTTGAAAGCACCAACCGTTTTCTCACTGCCCACGATTTTGACGTACTCCTCAACTTGGTTCATCTATAAACACCGAGTTTGTTCAGACAGGTTTGCATTACAGACTTTCTTCTCTAATCTTAATGAGACTAAATCCTGTAAAGTGCACAACACACTATTCAGCCGAGGTTTTTACATATGCCGAAGACCGGGGTGGGGCACTATTTGGCGGTTTCGTATTTACTGGGATTCGAATCCGCGACCTACTGACTAGTAGCCGAATTATTCGGCCACAAGTGGATGATCAGCAGCTCCGGTAACCTCTATTTAGACAGGTTTAAACATTTGCAATCTATTTTCCAACTGAATAACCAATTTCCTTTGCATAAGGACCTATCAAGTATACTCCGTTTAAAAGTTGGGATTTTCATGGATCGAACAAACTTCACTCGTATCCGAGTTCACGCGTGTCAACTGTCATCGTTTTCTTCCGTTCAACCACAAATCCTCGAAAGGTCACATAAACTGAAGTGTGATCCTAAATGGATCACAATCTTTGAAACTTACGCTCTCAGTGACCCCTCTTACTGGTTGGTTTAGTAATTCAAAGATTACTCAATTTTTTGGAGCTGTACACAATCGTGTTATCTCAATCACGTTTTGCTTGGGGGTCTATATAGTGTTGCGAATTTTTCTCTCTGATTCCCATAAAACGATGAGTTATGCACTGACAGGTCGACAAACAACCCTGTTAGTTTTCTTTACTGCAACCAGTTCGATTCCACACCCGGAGTACCACTGCCAGCGCATATTGTTTGGCTTGAAGTTCAAAGATAGTAGAGGAATGTGTACAATTGTTACAGGCCTCCTAACATGAACGCAGTGAGCGCAGGGATATGACAGCTTCAAGGTTTTAACTTTCGAAAACGAAAGCCAGGTGTGTGGCACCAAAGCAAATTTGTGGGAGAGGAGATTTCTGTACGCTTCATTGCAAAATTCCTCGAGGAATGGTTAAAGGGTCTTGGATGTCGACATCTGTTTGCTGCTCCGCCACATTCCCTGTCGAATGAACCTGCTGGGAATTTTGTCCGAACACTAACGTCTGCCATTAGTTCACTCTCTCCTACTACTTTTGTGGAATTGGACCGTGGGATTGATAATTTTCTAATACCAAAGATCCGTCTGTTAACGGCACTCCTGCTGTTTCAAATACTAATGAGTCCTTTGTATATGATCTTGTGGTATCCGAACAAAAGTTGTATCTGAAGAAAGCACTGCCTGTGAAAAATCTGAAGTTCCCATTCCGAGAAGATCCGAAAGATTGCGGTCAAGACCACCACTGGACTATAAACATCCACACGCTCATTCAAGGTGTGGCGGATGAGGATGATGATGATTGGTGATCTATTCATCGCTCTATTCATTATTCTCTTGTTTTAATATTCCATATGCTGTACATAAACGCCAATGCGAATCATGCGTTCTACATGTTATGCCACACTGAGTTCTGGACCTTAAGTTCGTCTGGTTATACTGATATACGTACGGAACTTAATTCTCACACTGAGCTTTCTCAGATCGATCCTGCTCTATCGTGTCCGGTTGACGCCTTTAGAACATTTGACAGGTTTGCTAAGTCATGTCGCCTGACAATTTCTTGGAGCTTTAACAAGGCACTGGTTTTTTTACTAAACTATTGTGTAGATATTTTGAGTGGGGCTACACCATAATTCATTAATGTGAACTTTTGGAAGCCCATTGTATCTATCATATTCTCAGAGAAAGTTGAATGATTCCCCCACGAGCACTTTTCAAAAGCACGGAGATGACACAGGTTATACTGGTCACTTAGCTGTTCACTTTTTCTGTTTAAATTCGGCTTTTTTTGGAGATCAATTTTAGCACTTGATGCCGTGGATTGCCTTGCTCGATTCAGTGTTTGTTTCTCGCTCATGACCGCATGATCCTCACTGTGCCTGGTTGGAGACACTGCAAGATATGGCTGCCAACCGATGTCAGTGGCGTTCTTGTTGTCAGTTTCTGTCCAGATTGCCTGAGTGAATGTCTGGAGGTGTAGGCACCTCGGAATGATTGTGGTAAGCTAGCACTAAGTTCCTTTCCCATCCACTTTCATTCTTTTCTTTACAATAATGCTTTCAAATAAATCATGGTTGTACGGCAGTGAAGCATCGGTGTTGAGCATCAATGTCATGCTGTCGATGATGATGATGATGAATTGCTCATGATAATCCCATAGATACGTGTTTTGTCATACTGCTTTCTCACTGCTGATTGAGGCCTCATTCACCCAAGTCCCATTTTCCAACGGGTCCCTGATTTGGACGTCACTGTTCTTCGTCCGTTCCGCCTAACTCTCAGGCACTGCACTATCCCCGAGTACTTCATGAGGTGTGTCAACTACGCACTCGATCAGACGTTTTAAATATGTTACTAGTCGTATCTCAAGGCCTTATTTTACCTCAAGTTTTGCATTCACGCACAACATCCTCCCCCTTCTATTGACACAGCTAGGTTTTGTAGACAAATCAAGGAGTTCAAACATGTGTATGTCCATGCTTGCTTGCAGCTTACAAACGCCCAAACCTACTGTCTCAAGTAATTGCTTTTTTGTGTCCACCGTGCTGCGTAACTATTCGTCCCGGACTATTTTTTTGACAGGAATATGCTGATAGCCTGCCATACATAAAGGACTTAATGAATATGTCTGTCAATCCGACTGGTGTACAGTTTTGGACAACATGAACTGTCTTCATCGACTGACCCTACAGACAACGTCATTTCATCGGGTGGAAGACGGTTTTCCTCCTCATCCTATCTTTGGCAGAAATCACATTAGCACTCGCACACCTGCTGCGCGATAAGATCTGCAACTGACTGTTGAAAGGTGATGAGTTCAGTCGCATCATTCAGGCAAATGATCACCTGGATATTTCGAAGCTTGGGAACGGTTGTGGCCAGTCTGTGGTTCCGTTCCAAGGGCATCTTCAAAGGCGCCTGGTAATATCACCATGGTTGGCGATGGAACGTTTACAATCAAACTGCTCAGCTCAACTCAGCTCATAAGGTTGCTGAAAACTCCTCGACAGCCTGGAAACATCAAAACCTAGAGATTCAGCTGCGTTCCAGGTGAGCCTCTCGAAAAACGAAATTAGTTTGCAAATGAGTGTATTTCGCTAATTTCCTGCAATTTGGTTTCAAGTAGAACATAAGGTTGACGGAAACTCGGAGACTGCGGCTACCTGATGAGCCCCAAGAAGGACGAAACCGGTTTTGGGCTGTCGATGGATTTTCAGCAACCTTATGAGTAGTGCATTACAAAATATACAACACCAGCATGTTTTTTTGAACGTGAAGTGCAAAAACTGCTGAAAATCTTGGTGACTTGATGAAAGGATTTAGTGATAAATTCCGCAGCTTCCCCTAGTGTCAGAACTTTTCCAGTTAGTCTTTTCACTTCGGAACCCTTGGTGCTTTGTCAGTTATCCGAAAGCCTACCTGCCGCGTCGCCACTTTCTGCCTTCTCCATAAACATCGTCTTGTCCATTTCATCACAGCCATCTATCATGTGCTGAACGTGCGAAAGGGAGTAATTAGTAAACGGCTTGAGGGACTTGATTGTGGAAAGCGGTCCAATAAAACCACACGTGGGACATCCATTTAGGGCTTCCGGGGAAGCTGACTGCACTGGGTCCAATTGTGTTAGACACACCGCAAATCACACCTAAGTGCAATTCTCGGGATGATCTATATATACATATACATATGCTTTCAAAGCACCGCGCAGATGAGAAAGTGCACAAAACCGTACGCAACGACCTTTCGGTGAAAAATCCAATTTCAGAAATATTCTCCGAGGATGGCGATGGAAATAGTTATGATTCCTTCAGTTTTGTCAGATTTCCTGAGAGTGATGAAGATGGCTTCATAGGTTTTGAGCACGGATTCAAGTTAGCATCAAAAGGTGTTTAAATCAACCCCCACTAAGTAGCTGTTTGTTCTATCATCCTAAGATTAGTCCTTCGAGCCCTTAAATTGCCAAAATAAGTGTCTGAATAGGAGTTGTTATGATTGAATGACGCAACAGCTGGCGCGCTGATGATTAACGCCAAATGCCAAGTGCCTGTCCGGTTTTTTAATTGAGTATTCCACCTAAAAATAAGCACATCGCGTAATATTTAGCCCGGCGGAAGGTCAGCATCGATCGGGATTTCTTTTTCGAATACGGTTTACGCTTTTCTGTGAAAACATGAAAACCAGAGGAGAGCAATAATGTTGTAAACTGTTTGCCCATTTCAAGCCTGCCCCCGATGGAGGCAACATTATGCTGTAATGATGAAGAATACACGCCCCTGGGCTATCGCAATTCGAGCTCTGTTGATACGTTTATGAGTGACACGTACGAGCACCCCACGAAAAGCCAACACAGAGAGAGAGAGAACCGTGTAGTTACATTTCTGCTATTTGCGGAGTCTGAACTAATGGTCACGCAACTAGCTTTCATCAAGTGAGCGTTGTACTCAGCCGACACGAGATCAGACAGTCACCTTAGCTGAAACAACACAAGTGGGCAGAAAATGAGCGTCAAGGCCAAACTATTTATGACGGGTACATCGTAGGTCAAATAAAATGCCCCGTTCCCTTCGATGGAGCAGGTTCGTGGTCATATATGGGACTATCATTCCTACCATTTGATTCTGAAAAGCTGCGCTTCACTAATAAATATGATATCGAAAATCGTACCAACTGAAACATGAGGTGGCCTGTATGCAGTACTTTCAGTTGAAGAACAGCATAAACGAGGGATCCACTTGAGTCTCCTGTGAAAACCGAATTGATTTTATTGTGATTGTATTTGTCGAAACCAGTCCAATTTGGGTTCAGGTGGAACATAAGGTTGACGGAAACACGGAGACTGCGCCTAACTGATGGACCCCAAGAAAGACGAAACCGGTCGAGGGCTGTTGACGAATTTTCAGCAACCGTATTTCGAACTTCCTTCCGAAAAGGTCACTAAAGTAGAACGTAGGACGAACCAATGTTTTTGCATACTGCAGCGTCATTATTCTGCTTGATTTTAGTATAAGATCCAAATGGATTCGATTCATGGCAATTTCTTCCCGGAAATTTCCATTAAATGCGTTCACCAAATGACCTTTTCAATTCGACCTCTTTAACTTTGTTCCATGAAATAACTTGGCAGCAATACGCACAAAAGGCTCTCCTTGTCAGTGTAAACTCAGTTCATGGTTCTCTTTTTAATCAGTCTGCTTTGATACGACTACTGAGTAGTTATTCGAGAGAATCGTGTTTACAAAGCATGACGAATTTTATTTTGAACCCTGAAAGATCCTCATTAAAGTTGGAAAAGCCTAACATCGTCATATGTCCAGCTATTTTAAACCATTACATAACACGTCAGAAGACATACTCAACTAACCTTTTCGTACACGTTATTGATCACAAACTCCAGGTTGAATACCATCAAAAGGATACCGATCACGGCCAGAACAAACGAGTAGTCGGCCAACTTTCGTCGCTGCTCATTCAACAGTTTACGCTGACTCAGCCGCCAGCCAATGTTGTGCGCTTGTGTCTTTTGTATCAGAGGCTGTTGGGCCAAACTCAATGGACCCCCTGTTGAGCGAAGTAAGGGAATGTCCTGGGCACCACGTCTGGAGTGCGTACGAGTGCAAGACGGTGTTACCGCTGGAGAGCTTGCTTCTTCATCCTCTATGTGCTCAATAGTCAAATGCTTGGTTGAGGGACTTCGAGTTCCTGGAGTGAATTTCCAGCGAAACCGGGGAATTGCCGAACGGAGCGAAACGCCGGGCATTGATTTGGACTCATTTCTCTCTTTTCCGTTGCCCGTTCTCTTATCAAGACTTCTGCTGTGGTCTACTTTAGATTTGTGACCCCAGGGAATACTCATGTTGACCGGAACTGCAGAAATTTGTGCGGTCTTTCTGCTCAGTCTTTGCACGGCGTCTGTAATTGCTCGCCCCGGAGTTTCAGCACTGTCCGTTTTATCTAAAATCAGTGGATTAAGAATCTATAGCCGTTCTAATCAATAGCTCTTTCGAGAAAGCTCTAAAATTCGTTGAATAAAGGGTGTTTTTCGCCCAAGGAATAATTTCGGATAGCCAATTAGAGGAAAAGTTCGAGAGAAGAACCAACACTTTACAGCAAAACAAATAAATTCACACAAAGCTAGTGCTACCGAAGAAAACTAAGGAAATCTTGATTTTTAATCATATTTTCAACTTCTTGGATAACCCGATGATTTCGCAACACCCATGTTCATTTTCTCGTTTTTTAATATAATTTTGTTGGGTTTATATGATTGGAAACTTGGGTGGTCAAGTTTCTAGGCCACCACATTTCGATCTCGAGTCTTCAACGAGATTTTCCCCCATGATTATTGGTTGCGATTGACACCAGCATGAGAGAACATTGTTCAGTCACACTTGTGATTCTAATTCACCTCCCCAGCAGTGCACTTTTGGAGCAAAGCACTTATGTGGTTGCAGCAGCAAACGTACGACCTTGGAGGATGCTGACCACGAGGTTCGGCTGGATTTAGCTGAGTCAGCTGACTAGAAATTCCGTGGCGCTAGCATCACTTATCGATCAGCTGGGATGTCTTCACGCATGCGTCAGACACAAACTTCAATGTGACTTTAACTTATGAACACTTGCACTTTTTGGTGCATTTTCGGTCAGCTACCGTACAATATGGACCTCTCGCTATCTCACACAATCCGGGTCATAGCAGCTTTTCATAAACGGGAGATTCAGTTGAGTCGCTCGTGAGAACCAAATTGATTTGCAAATGAGTGTAGTTCTCGAAAACAGTTCAATTTGAGTTCAACTAGAACATAACTCGGACGGAAACTCGGGGACTGCGCCTACCTGATCAGCTCGAACTGGAAGGGCTAAACCGGTCGTGAGCTGTCGAAATGCTTTCAGCAACCTCGTGAGTAGTTTCCTTTATGACCTTGGGCTTGTTATCCGTACATGACGAATCGGAAACTCGGGGACTGCGCCTACCTGATCAGCTCGAACTGGAAGGGCCGAAACCGGTGTGAGCTGTCGAAATGCTTTCAGCAACCTCGTGAGTAGTTTCCTTTATGACCTTGGGTTTGTTATCCGTACATGACGAATTCACATAGGGTATCGTAAACGCATTGTGTAGCAAACTCATAGGCCGTTTTCTGAAGTTGAAAAGTACCAAAACGGTCCCACAAGTTCTTATTTTTCACAGCAATGCTTATCTATTCAACCTAATCAGAAGGTAATGCCATTTATTAGACCTTGCTTCACTTTTATCACTTTCGTCAGAAACTGGCAAGTCGTACATGCCTGAGAGTCCGTGAAAACGGCCGAAAACGACCGGAAAACGCTTGAATTCACCACCTTTTGGCCCTCGAACAGCAAACAGTCACTTGACGGACAACCAAAGCTGATCTAACTCACCTGTATGGAGGCAACTTCCTGATTGGTCCCTCTGATGTCTTAAAACTGGACATGGCAGCGTTCACTCTTTTTAGCTTCATCGTCTATCGTATAAAATAGCTTGGCACTAACTTCATCGTTTCCGAATTTCTCAAAGGAAGCCTCTTTGGACCTTTCATTTTAACCTATGTTTCTTTTTCTATCGCCCAGCTCAGATGAAAATTAGGTCATGACTACGAAGGAAGAATCTCTCGTGGTGCTCGGAAGGCAACAGTGAAATGACTTGTAAGGAAACTATGAACAAGTCACACCCACCTGAGTGTTCGAAGTTAGGGTGCGTCTTAGTTTTTACAGTGTGTTTGAGTGTCACACTGGCACACATGTGGAAGGAGATCACAATAGAGAATCGCATTTCAATGTTTATCAGAGATGCAGTTCCATTCCAATACTATGCTGGGACACTGCTGGTGTTACGGGTGAATTCAAAGGGGCTGCTCTAAAGGGGACAGTAAATGTAGACAAGTAAAGCCCAAAACTAGAATGTTTGGAAATCTAACAGGCAGCGAGCATGCACTGAACTCTTTGAAGAGCAATCTCGTCTTCGGTTTGCCGTGCACACAAATCAAGTAAACAGGTGACGGACCGAGCGTTTGTACGGTAGACTCGGAAGGTTGTCTCCAGGGGAGAACAACTGAAGAAATCGATGACTCCCTTATTTCGAACTGTGACAAATCCGACATCTCATCTAGGGAAGGAAAAATTTTACACGTGATTGTCAGTTTTTGTGGTTGAAACAAGTTGTAAAGATTGGCCCACATATACATTGTATTGTCCTGTTAAAACGTAATCCTACTTTAAACGTGAGTTATCATCTCGTGTCTTATCAAACTCAAGGCTGATGCCCCACAGAGAAAAACGCATTGTCCGAACACGACCTTAAAGTAATGTGTGAAATGGCAACCATATTACGTCCTTTACACAGTCACCAATTTCATACTGGCCACGTTTCTACATAATATCAGGTTTCAAGTAGTGCTAATTGATCGGTGAGATTTTGAATTTTTGCTGCATCCTTAAAGAAGCATTTTCAAACACTTTCCTATTATTATTACACGGAGCTCGAAACTGGTTGAAACATTTCGTCGCTCAAAATCTGATCGCCCACGACACAGATGCCTTTTTGTTTCGTTCCAGAAATGGCAAATCGGTCACATTCGAACACTATTCTGGACTTGCCGTCTGGAATCATCCGTTCATATCGTCGACCCGAAACGTGGAATCAGCAAGTTGACGTCCAAAGCCTTGTTTGACATACTGGATTTAATCTATTCATCCTACGCACATGTCGAATCAAGCTTTGAAGACCATTCATTTGCTTAGCATAGTTCATCCCCATGTGCCAGTTCAGTGACCTCGAGAGCTCCATGCTCTTTAACATAGCAATAATTTTTTCGTGGGTGTGTTTGAAAAGGCCTCGCATTTCAGCACTAACTGAAATATCTCTTCTGGGTGCCTCTCCACGAAAAAATGCACAAAGTAAACTCTAAAGAGTCCCAACTGATTCGAAATTGTCTGACCAAATCATAGATGGCGTCCACGCTGCATTTTTTATTCCGTGCCAAAGGGTCGACCCGATTAAAATTGTTTTTGAGTGCCTTGGTGTTTCGGTTGCGCGCACGTCTCAGATAATCGTTTACTTGCCAGTAAAACGGCTGCTTTGTGATGTGTTTTGTGGCCAACCATCACGTGTTCAACAGGAAAACTCACCAGGCAGATTACAAATCTCAAAATTCTGTGTAGGTTTGGTCGTGACATGGATGTACAGCATTTTGAATTCGACTCATCGCAGTCTAATATCAGTCCCCAGACAAAGCCAACAGTCGATGATGTAACTTCACATCGATCGAGGGTTTTAGTTGTACCTTTTATCCGACTATCGGAGAAGTTACAAAGTTTTGAGTGAAATATTAGGATGAAACTGAGTCCTTTTGTGTGAGGTTTAACCATAAATACCATTTCTAAAACATGAAAATGTGATTAACAGTAAAATCCAATTGCTAATCGATGTGAGTAAAACAAGTAATATGGATACCTCTGACGTTCGAGTGAAATCCACACATCAGGGTCCGCCCTCTTCAGTCCTCTTAGGTTTTTATCAGTCCGGTGAATATAAATAGCATGGAGAAAAACATTCCAGGATAAAAGTTGGCGGATAATAACTTACCCTTTCCAGTTTGTATGGTGCCAAGTATCTGATTGGAAATCGTTCCGGTAATCGGTTTGCCCAAGAAACCACGGTCCACCGTCTCGGCTATTAGTTGACTCGCACGAGCCGAGTCGATTTGTCGATCCGTTGATACACCAACAGACGGTGTTCGACTGACAGGTTGTTTGGACTTTCTGTTGGTTGTGGCCCATGCCAGTGCAAACGCTCCGATATGAGCTTCACGTTCGATCAGTTTTTCCGGAACTTCTTCCTCGCGTTCGAACGACGTCTTGTACCCATGCGACATTCCTGGAATTCCCAGACGATCTGTTTCCTCTGTGGCTTGCCCGAATTCTGTGCCGGATACATCCTCCGTTGGATCGCTTTGTTGTCGATTTAGACGATATTCCGCACTCTGATAGACCGGCACAGATCCAACAAATTGCAATCGAGGATCAATCGAATCAAAGTAATCCGGTGAAGGCAAGCTCGTTCGATTTGTTCGCCATTTTCGTCGGGTACGATAAGGTGATCCAAAGCGTGCACAAGAATGCGATATTTTTAGTCTTTCAACAGGCCGCTCACGTTTTTCCCAGTTTACTTGTTCGGAATGCAATTTATCCTCGATATTGTAAGGAAGGGAATAGGACGCTTCGGAAGACACGGGACCAGAACGTGTTGATCGACTGGATTGAGGTGCTCCATGAAGAGGCGGCGTACCAGGAAAGTCTTCCGTGGGTGAAGACACATGCGGTTTTTCCACATCGGGGTTTGTGGCATTGGGTGTTGTTTTTAAATGGCCACTTCTCCTAGATCTTGGGTGACCATTTGGGGAATGAGGTAGAAGACTGGTTTCATGCTCGCTACACTTCGGAGTAAACAGCTTCTTCCAACGCATTCTAAGTAATTTCGCTGGTGAGGTAGGACTAGACATTCGAGGCGGTATTGATAAGTTTTCCAAGAATTTTTCATCAAGCGACCCTTCGGTGGAGTATGCTCGCCCGGAATGTTGCCACTGTCGTCTTCTGGGTACAAGCGGATCCTGTATTGCCCTTGTTGGCCATTGTAGCTCATCCGTAGAAGACATATTTCCTGCATCTGCAACCGTTATCCTTCGATGCAACTCCGCAATTCGTCGCTGAGACAAAGCCCGCTGTTCTGCCGGATAGGGTGACATCAGGTTAGCGGGTCTTGCGGTTTGTTCTTCCTCCGGTTTCCTATCACTGAGGCTGCTGCATCGATCGATTTTTGGTGGCATATCCGTGGAGTTGGTGGTGCTCTCCCCCATAAGTGAGCTTGCCGTAAACCAACTTTCACTGTGCAAGCTACTCACCCGGTGGAATACATCGTAAAACTGGGCGGAAATGTGTTCAGAAGAATCATTCTCTAATGAAGAATTTAAGGAAAATAATCTGTCAATTGAATTTCTCGGAACGTCAGCCATATCATCTCCTTCGAGTTGTAATGCCTGCCTCTGACGTGAACTCACAGCGTCGTCACTAACGATCAAATTATCCTGCTGTCCTGAAGTCTGTTCGCTTGATAACTCTTCTAGAAAACTTTGAACGCTGCAAGTCGATGGACATCGTTGGCGGGGAACCAGTTCTAAATCTTCCGAGAGTTTCTCATATTTAGCTTTCGGTAGACCGGACATTCTAATATGGTATTGTACCAAGCAGGCTGCGATCATGTAAGGTGAACGAGGGCTGATTGGTTTACCTGAAGAGGTTGATGGGGCGATACAGTTCCAGGATGTTCATCAGAATGTGGAACGTTTGTCTGTGGGTCAGAATAAATGTGCCAACGCAAGTCTTTCAGCTAAAGAAGTTCTTGATGGACCGAATGACGAAGCACGACTGGAAGCAACGGTCCTTCGCCGAAGAGCATATTGTACATCTGGAAGGGATGGATATAGAACACCTATAAATGGATGGCGAATAACTCATACTTATTCGGAAACCTAGCACTCTTTCTAGGTAGATTGCGCTATGTGGGTGGTAAACCTGGTGGCACCGAGGCTACATAAAGTATATAGTGTAAATGCAGTCTCATTAAATCCTTCTCTCTTTTGAATAAACTCTTGGGAATGGCGTTAGTACTTGCAAAATGCAACTGACGATCCATATACAGAGAGAGTGCTGCCCCGTCAGATACGTCGTGCCCTTAGGTCATCGCTCAAGGACTGGACGAGGACTACGTCTGTGTGCACATCGAATACACATCTGCAACCAGATGGGAGGGTACTCGGTCAATAAGCAAGATTTTTCGAGCAACAGAACTTCTCATAGGGATCTGTTTGTAGGCAGCATAAGACTCTTCGGTCAGATGACTGACAGTCAAATGGCCCAACGACGTTTGCTTGTGCAGTGGGAAGGGGTTGGGGAGGGACATCGGTGGACGCTGAACTGCACAGGCAAATGATACTTCCCGGTTGCCCAGGCCGAGGAAGGGGGTTTGGTTGAGGTACCCCACCTTGAGCCTTTGACTCAAAAGCCTGACCCACGAGGCAGTGGGAAAATGTAGGGATTTCTTTGGGGACCCTACCCGGAGCCGAAGACTCAACAGTCTGACCCACGAGGCAGTGGGAAAATGTAGGGATTTCTTTGGGGACCCTAACCCGGAGCCGACGACTCAGCAGTCTGACCTGCTCGGCTGCAGCGGGTTGGCCTAACCCGAGGGCGCAGGGAATAAGGCATTACTGTCTCATTCCTGATGCGGCTGTGCACAGTAGGTGCTTTTGAGCAGCACCGGGCTCTTTGGCTTTAAAAGTATTTCGACCGTAATAGACAATGCGCTAGCGGTCGCGGTCAACCGTTGGGCGATCGGAGTGTTTGGTTTTTGGGGCCGACCTTTTCTAACCCGTCCTTCCTCGGGGGAAGGCAGCATCGCTGCTTCCATAAATATGGACATGCTGGTCGCCTGGGGGAAACACCTTACTGCCTTCACACTCCTGTCGCAGAGGACAGTACGACTTTACCCCCAGATCGCCTCGTGGTACGATTACTCGTAGTACGTGATCTCGCTGGTCTTGGTCTGGCTGCTCCGCTTTGGCCTTCCTGGCATGGTTGCACCTAGTGGAACGAATTTCCAGTCAGTGTAGCGCGCTGGATCATTGCAGCACTCAAGCCCGACCACCACGTCAAGGTGGCAGCTTTAGGTCGGGTCATAGGAATCTGAGGGATTCGAACTTATTGCATGTCAGATGTCCGGGGTTCAAATCCCGGCATGACCATTGGATATGCGCTGCTGATGAGCTCTAATAAGAGCGAAACTCGAGTTCAGTGCTTCCCTTTGGTGTGGACTCACCGGAATAATTATGCCAGAACAGGAACACGGCCGTTCAAAAGAGAGTGGTGTGGCTATGAACAAACACACCTATCCGGCAAAATCCCAAAATTGCAACCATGATTGATTTGAAAGCCTTATTGTAAAGAAAAGAATAAAGGTGGATGGGGGAGGGACTTAGTGCTAGCTTAACACAATCATTCCGAGGTGCCTACACCTCCAGACATTCACTCAGGCGATCTGGATATAAACTGACAACAAGAACGCCACTGACATCGGTTGGCTACCATTTTTTGTAGTGTCTCCAACCAGGCACAGTGAGGATCACGCGGTCCCCATCCTAGAAGGCGAGAAGCACCGACAGTACCCAGGCGTTTCGTGGTCTCCTTCATACTCCTCTTCCAAGTCAAGGGTTGGCCACCTCCCTGCTTCCGCCACTCTGAATCGACCATTGAAAACTGCACTCTCTTCGGTATACGATGTTTAGGCATGCGCAACACATGTCCCAACCAACGCAGCTTCTGATGCTGGACACATTCTTCAATGGAAGCATCCGTTGCACAACCGGAAACGCGCTTTCTAACCGCCTCGTTGTGATGATCAAAACAACTCACCAATCGCCATTAGAAATATGGACGACATTTGAGGTGGAGGAGACTGTGATTACTTTAAAAAAAGTTTTCAACCATTTTATTACCAAGCAGCTAGATCTGATGGCATCTTTAAGGAAGAAACCAGCAACAACATTGCTTTTTAAGATAGGTTATCCCGAGAAAGCCATATGACACCCTGGAGCGCTCTGTGTGCCGGCAAGACCACACAGACTGGATATTACTTACAATTCACTAGTAGTAATCTCTTAGCTCGCGCAGGAAGTTTTGTGTACACTGGAAACACTTTCTGCGTGCGATTTCTCACCTGACTGCACCAGGAAGGATTCTCTTAATGGACCCTATCTTCCAGCGGTTGTCCTTTTCATATTCACGTGGACTACGACGTAGAAACAAAGGAAGGTTCTCCTTGCCTGAAGGTTAATCAATACATGCTTACCAAAGCCATGTAGCAAATTAGATGTTGCAGTCGGTAGGACAAATCTATCTGCTCAAGGAAAGAAACCGGACGCCGGTAAATAGCGACCACAGTACCGAAGAGTTCTATTCGGAGAGAACCTCGCCGCTAGTGACACCGTTCAACAATTCAATTCACAGGATTGGTCCCAAAACAGATTTCGTAAGTTTACACCGTAAATTCAAATCGGAATGTTGAGCCCCTAATAAGACAAGTTGGTTTTACCAATACCCATCTAGTTCTGCTACACAGCAGACCTTATAACAAACTCAGTTGACCTTAGAGTCAAGAACCGGATCAGATTAAATCACGATATGACTGGTTCCTATTCACCTAAAGTGAAAACAAAGCGCAGTGAAACCTCAAATTTACGTTGACGTGGGAAATTTTCCAGAGCTGTTTACACTCACTGTATTTAGTTATGATGTAAAACTACAGTATTTTTCAGGAAGGAAACTACTCACAAGGTTGCTGAAAAGTCTTCGACAGCCCACGATCGGTTTCGCCCTTCTTGGAACTCATCAGGTAGGCGAAGTCCCCGAGTTTCTGTCAACCTTATGTTCTACCTGAACCTAAATTGAACTGTTTTCGAGAAATACACTCATTTGCAAATCAATTTGGTTTTCACGAGAGACTCAACTGAATCTCTCGTTCAGGATATTCTACAACTGAATGTGCTGCGCACATGCCGCCTCATGTTTCAGTTGACACGATATTCGAGATATCGTAGTATATTTCCTTAAATGAAGCAACTCGCAAGGATGCTGAAAACTCGCAAAGTGCTGAAAACTACAATTTTTAATGCCACAGTTTGGCGATATCCGGTAATCTTTTATTTCCTACTAGGTTGAAAATTTGTCCTAGCCATGCAACGTGAGCACAACTATTGTTCTATTGAATGTCTTCGCATTTGCGTCACAAGGTAGATAAATATAATCAGTCGATAAGTTTTTACCACAGCTAAGGATTTAGCGCCAAATTAAATATCACAGAAGAACGTGATCAAAATTTGCCGAATTTCCAGGAAGTATGCGATGGTTTTATCATCATTCTAGGGCGAGAAATTACGCTAAAACAGCAAAATAACGAGGTTGTACGGCAAGATTCACCGAGGAGTTGAAGTAACTCAAGGTGAAATTATCGACAGACTTTCAATAAACGCGAACTGAGCTAGAGTGCTGTATCAGACATTTTCAAACCTGTCCAACCACAATGTGTTTTGATGATCGACTTGAAGCAAAGAAAAAATCGCCTTGGAAATCTTTTGTAGCATTTCGGCCAAATGAATAAATAAATCGATATCTATCCTTAGGTTTAAATGAGAGACAAACCTTACTCATTGGTTGAACAACCGCATTCGAAGGGCCAACCCACGCATGGAAATATTTGAGTCTCCTTACGGTGTCTTTGTCTAATTCTGAGGTCCGCCTGCAGGGTTTATCGAAACTGACAAGTTATCGTCTTTATTCCATCATTGCCGGTGATCTTTTTCTGGAAAAATTGTAGCAACCAATTAACATATTTTAACAGATGCAACTGAGCAGCACACTGTCAACAAACACGTGTCAAATACTGCGGCTTTCTCTAAAATGGAAACAAAATAATTAGTGAAGTAACACGGCAGTTCGAGTGCATAAAAAACAAGACTCCCCACCACGTTCGGTTTTGGATTAGACAAGTTGTCCCATGTTCAAACTGTTCAAAAATCTCGCCGAGTCATAACACCAGTTCTCACCGCTTTGTCTGGATAGCAAAATAACTCAATCTGGATGATGATGGAGACTACGATGCTAATTTTGATGATGATGATGATGAT